AGGGATTACGGTACCAGTTCTTAGAGTAGGTTGTAAATGGTTGTATTCTCTAGGGAGTACCTCACTATAGCCTAGAAAAACCAACAAATCCATAAATACAGTTTGACACACCACAGTTGACGACTGAGTAGACCTCCACGGCACAGCGCCAGAGCCCGAGCTGAAACCGTATCCCTGAGTCAACCTATAGATCTCGAAGTCGTCGGCGTAGGACGAGTCACAGTGTCCAGTAAGTCGCACTGGCTCTCTCCCTCCAAGCACAAGCCCCACCCCTGATGTAGTCGCAAGGTAATTCGCTACCCTCACAGCAGCCGTCCACTGAACAGGACGGTGTCTACCAGTTGCAACAAAGCGAGCCAGGACGCTAAGAGGATAAGCGAGGTCCGGACGAGTATAGGACATTAGGTATATGAGGCAACCCACAAGCTCCGGTAGGGATCACTAGGCTTAAAAGGCTTGTCGGGGAGAGGAGCATTAACTATGTGGTCGACGGCAAGAAGAGTGGGCTGTGTGGTGAAGCAATGATGTCTGGACCACTGAAGGACCTGCTTCACCATGTGTGAATGAGTCGGAGTGATGGTGCGAGCGGCTTTGTCCCTAGTGATCTGCAAGCCAAGGTAGCTCCGCAGTTCACCAAGGTCAGTGCACGTGTGTCTCTTTTGCATTTCAGAATTCATTGAAGCCAAAGCAACCCTGTTTGATGCAGTGAAGACCAAGTCGTCGACGAAGACGAGGACGAAGAAAGGAGTGGGGCTAGAACCAACGCACAGTGATGTGTCAGTGAACGAAGGACGGAACCCGAGGTCAACAGGAGTGGAGCGAAGAGTGTCATGCCACTCATGAGGCGCCTTGCAGAGACGGTAGAATGGTCGTCTCAGGCTCCACTAGGTCACAGGCGGGAACGTGCCAGTGAATCCAGGAAGACGGCACATCCAGATCCCCTTGTGCAGGCAACACGAGAGAAAGGCAATGGAAAAGTCTAGCGAGTGCAGCTCATTGTCTCGATGTGCTGCGACGTGTATTAGCACTCGAAGAGTGGTCATTTTCTAAGTGGGGAGAAGGTCTAGAAGAAGTCTACTACCTCACTCTGACTGAAGTCTCTAGCCATGTAGCACGCCTTGAAGGCAGGTGGCGAATCAGCGGCCGTGTCGCATTGAAGATCCAGATGCCATTGACTACGTTTGATCAATGAGGGGGGACTGTGTCGACATACGTGCATGTAGATCTCCAAGACGCCATCTCTACATCTATGGCTGCTACCCACTGAGAGGCCCACTGTCCCGAAACTGCCTCAGTGTAAGTACGAGGAGTCGGGATGTCTGGAGCGTCAGGGTTTTCGTCAGGGGTTAGAAGCATGGCAGAGAGATGGGGAGGATCATCTGCAAGGAACTCCAGCTCAAACTGCCTGTTCTCTAGATGTCACAACCAAGGGCAGACTCACCCCCGGTGGACAGAGGATGGGGAGGAGGAGCAGCCACCAAGCGGGTGGCGTAGTCAAGGCGGCAGGTGGCAGCAAAGTTAGTGACAGCGGCAATAAGAACCGAGACAGATGACGGAGAGGCAGTAGGCTCCGTAACAAGAGAGGAGAGAACACGTGAGACCACAGGGCGAGCAGTATGGTCGTAGTCAGTGAGAGGCAGTGAAGAAATTATGAGAGCTGACGGATGAGGCAACGGAAGGATAGACAGAGGCAAAGAACGAGGAGGTCTCGAACAGGAGGCGAGTGACGAGCACTCAGGGAACAAGGGGACCGGACAACAGGAAGAGACGGTCGTGGCCGAGGAGGAGACCGAGCGGGAGCCGAGTCCGAAGGAGGGAAAGTAGGAACGTGAGTAGAAAGAAATGGTAAGCGGTCAAGAGGAAAGGAACAAAAAACCAAGGGTCCGAAGACCACTCACAGGTGGCGACTACTATTGTGGCTGCGACTGCGGCTGATGCTGCAGGTGGTGGTGGTGGTGCTGCTGCTGCTATTCCTCTAGCTACTGCTGCTTCTCTTGTTGCTCCATCTGCCGTAGACGTTGAAACCTCGTCGGGTAATGGTGGCCAGTCGGAGCAAGCGTCGTAGATCCAGAGCCTCCAGCTCCAGTACTCCCAGAGCTAACACCTCCAGCACAAGCACCTCCAACTCCATCACCCCCATAATCAGCACCTCCAGTACTATCACCTCCAGCTCCAGCACCCCCAGAATAAGCACCCTCAGTGCTAGCACCCCCAGCCCCAGCACCCCCAAAACCAGCACCACCAACACCAGCACCTCCAGCGTCAGCACCCCCAGAGTCCACTGCAACATGTCGCGGTATTACTGAATGTCGCTGCAGTGACTGTAAGGACGACTCCGGTGATGGAGACGACACCTGACTTGCTACCGAGGGGAGAGGGGTAGTGTGAGACACACCTGACAGGACAGGACCAGCGTGGGGTGGACGTACCGGAGGAGCAGGACCAAGGAGAGGAGTGGGAGCAAGGAACAGGGGAGTGGGGGGAACCGGGAGAACTCTGTGGGGGTACAGGACGAAGTAAGACACGGACTCGTCAAAAGTGACGTCACGGGAGTCTAAGAACCGGTGGAGAGGCGAGTGGTAAAATATTAAGTCAGGCGTGTCTTGTGGGAACCCAAGGAAGGCACAAGGGAGGGTGCGAGACGAGAGCTTGTCCGTGCAAGGATCGCGGAGACGCGCAAGGAAGACTCGAAACTCCGACGCGATCCCAGGTGACCTGGTCCAAAGACTGGTCGGTGAAGCCTTTGGCTGTGAGACGCGAGGCCAGAGATTCAGCTGGTGCGCGGCGTAACGGACCACGAAGGCATGGACCGTGGAGGTACTGCAATCTCCATGACCAAGCCTATGCAGCATTGAGCAACCCCATTACGCTGTGGCGAGTCCGAAAGCGTGAAGGACTGGGTGATGCCATGCTCGCGACAGAACTCGGTAAGAACACAGGAGAGGAACTTACCCCACGGACGGAGTGCGGACAAAGCCCAGCGATGGAGCTGTGAGCGCCAGTGGTCAGTAACCACGGGATCAGAGCATCAGGCACGTGGGCCTTCTGTTGCAGAGGAAACACCATGGTGTAGCGAGAGAAGTCGTCCATAACAATGAAGAAGAACCTCTCACCACCTGACCCGGGAGGTCCCCCAGTCGTCCAAGTGTAGATTCCGGAAGGGTGAAGCGGCAGGTGTAAGGGAGGAGGATTGACGGGTGGCGTGCAGCCGACCCTCGACGCAAGGAGTGCTTGGCTGCGCAAGCGACGGAGGGAGCGACGGAAGCAAGGACGGGAGACCTGAAGCAAGACCGTGTCTAGGCATGTGGCGGAGGCGTAGGAGGGAAGGGTGATCAAGACGGCGGTGCCAAAGGACTGTCGGGTGAGTGAGTGACCGACAGGAGTATGACGCAGCAACCTGATCAGATGCAGCTACCTGGGGTGACGCGGTGCGCTGTGTGAAGATACCTGAGCTGGGCTCTAAGAAAGGGTCGCAAAGAGTGCCCAAAGAAATCGTTCGTACAAGTCGCAAACCTCCCGTGTGCAGGAAACGTAACTGCCACTCCGCGGTCCTGGAGCTGTCCATCATCCACCAAGTTCCTAGAGAATGAGGGGGTGTAGAGGGGACCAGAGGGGACGGCCGGACAGGTAAGTGTGGTAGAACTGCGAGCGACGGTTGGTCCAGAAGTGGGACCAGCCGAAGCTACCGTCATCGCCCGGATTTAAGACATATATGTCTTATCTTATACACTAGAAAGAATGCTTGGTTGTCTTGTATTTGGGACAGTTTAGGGTGTCTTATAAGTCTTATAATTGGACAAAAAGTCGTTTAGAAGATACCCCCCTCGTTAAAATATTACTTCTAAACCCTAATAAGGTACTGTTTAAAAGACACTGCCTTAACTCGTACACACCTACAGGTGTCTTATAACCAGGAATACCCATTTATAAGAGACACCCGATTTAAAGACACCCCCTCTCTTCTGTTCAACATTGTCTTCTATCCGGGCGATGACGGTATTAAGACTGGTGCAGGAAGTGACGTGATAGTGGTGTGGTCGCGAAAGAAGTACTGGGGTGCACCGGAGTCGAGTGTGAAGGAGAGAGCCGCGTCAGCAGTCGTCGCGCCTGGGCTAGTACCAGGCCCTCAGATCCGTTGTTGGGCTATCTGGTTCGTCAGACTTAGTACACTGATTCTGTCTGATCAATAAGGGTAGGTACAAAAAAAAGGCTGAAAAATCAGAGTCCTGAGTAAAAACAAAGTCTGAACATTCAGAGTCTCCACGAGTATTTTGTCTGATTGTAATTTTCTTGCTGGTGGGTCGTCTGTTGGCCTTTGTTAAACTACACTAGTTAAAAGCAAGCAACGAGTGCCTACTACGTACATACATACTTACTACTATCCTATCTAGTCTAGGCTACTCATTGAATCCATCATCATCATTATCAGATGCATCATCATCTTCTAGGTCGACTACTACCATCTCCTCATAGACAGGCTCCTTGCCCTGCCTGCTCTATTTCTTCCCTGTAGTGATAGGAGCGTTGCTGTGGGGCTTGCGCTTCTTGTAGCTCCTCCAGATCCCCACAATCTCTTCCCAGTTCGGCTCATACTCCTTGAGGCTCATGCATATGAGGTCTCCAAGCCTCACATCCTTCAACGACCCTCACTGCCACGACTTGATAATGTTCTGCCGGGAGAACCCTCTCTCGCACTCCACGATGCTCAGCGGTAGAACAGCTACCGCCAACCACAACTGCACCAGGTTGGGGTGGTTGTCGCACCAGTCTGGTGTCTTCAGCATGGTGGTGATTCCCGTGTGGAAGCTGCGCTCGTTCTTGTTGGATGCTGCAAACCACCGAGGTGAACATGCGCAGCTCCTTCACCGCACGTCGCTCGTTGATTCCTGGCGAGGGAGGAAACGTAGAACACAAGAATGAGAAATTAAGAGCAAAGCGTTACATCACATACGAGCATACAATGATGTAGCAGCTCACTGACAACCATACACATGCAACGTTTAGGGAATTCGGTGCTTACTTGGCCGAATCTCCTCACACATGTCGGCCTTGAAGAGTGTGACCAGGGACTCCAGCCACTCGAGGCATCTCGTATTCCTCTCTCCATGTTCCAGCGGCCACTCATCAGGGGTGAACAGCTTTGCCCCTGACATTCCCTCCAGGTCGCCAAGCCGTGAAAGCAGCTCGTAGACAATCTTCTTCGCGAACTTGGTGCAGACGTCCACGCAGCCATCATGATTCCCGGGACCCTGAAACTCCTCCAGGTCGTCCTCATGCAGCTTGAAGGTGAAGCGTGTTGGTCGCCCGTCGGAGTCAACACCCTCGGCAGTCACCTCCCTGTTTCCTCCAGGCCCATGACGTACGAGGAAAGGAGACAACCGCTCGCTCACGCCGCCACCGAAGTCATCGCCGCAGTCGACATAGCGGCTCTCGATATGGGAGGTTGTGCGCTTTATCTGCGCATGGACACTAGCATAATCCAGCTGATGACAAGGAAAGAAATTAAAGGAGGGGTGTTAGTGACGGTCATAGAACATTGCGGAGCCAACGGTACGTGTATGGAATATATCATTACCCAGCTCACCTCCTTGTGCTGGAAAGCCCGGTTGAGGATGTTTAACTGCTCCAGCACGTCAGCAATGAAGAACAGAAGGAAATCAAACCTGTAGCTGGTCACAAGCGCATACAGGTTAGCATCCCACTCCTTCAGCATCACGATTTGAGCAGGATGCATGGCGATAGGCCTCAGCACGGCATCGCCCTACGAGAGCCAGCGAACTACATGAATCCCTTGCAGTTACAGGCTTGTTGACGTGAAGACTTCCTGCAGGCCCATGAACCGCTGGTGCCATGGCCCGAACCTGCCAAGATGCTCAGCCACGGTACGAATCACCGTGTCGATGATGCTGAAGGCAGGGATCTTCTCAGCGGCATGCTTGGCAGCCAGTGCCACCCTATACAACAAATAAGAACAACGGAGTTAGAATCTGGCAGAATAAGATGGCAACTATTTAGTATCTTAGCTTCAAAATTCGATATACCTGTGCGCGATGCAGTGCGACGACACCAAGTGGGGGATGCGCAGTCGGAGGCGTGTCACCAGGCCCGCCTTGCTGCCCATCATGAGGTTGGCACCATCAGTGCTGATGCCCGAGATCCGGCTGAGGTCGATGCTGACTGCCTGCAGGTGCGACAGAAGTAGACTTAGCAGCGAGGCGGCGTCTGCCTTATCTACTGTGATGAGCTGCATGAACTCCGTGACTAGCTTGCGTCGCGGATGAACGTGACGTAGGGGATTAGGTGCTTCCCACTGTACCGATCTGTGCCCTCGTCGAGGGAGATGTCGATGAAGGGACTTGAGAGCACATGATCCAGCTGGGTTGTTTGAAGCCACGTTGCAGTCGATTGCGTTAACTCCCCGAATCCATACGTGCACATAAAATTACATGGTCAGTTCACGTGGTTTAGCAAACATGGATTGCAGCATTGTACATGTGCAACTTATAACAAGATCCACCACGTCACATATGCACCCCCTTTCTTGGTGAAACCCTTCACGCCCTTCTCCGACAGGTACCGAACAAGCTTGACCCACATCCCCATTGGCGCGTCGCACTTGCTGACGAGCAGCAACGAGTCAAGAAGGGAAACGATGTGCATCTTCTCCTCGTCGACAGTGACTCGAAGTTGATCGATCAGAGGGGAGAGGGGTAGTGTGAGACACACCTGACAGGACAGGACCAGCGTGGGGTGGACGTACCGGAGGAGCAGGACCAAGGAGAGGAGTGGGAGCAAGGAACAGGGGAGTGGGGGGAACCGGGAGAACTCTGTGGGGGTACAGGACGAAGTAAGACACGGACTCGTCAAAAGTGACGTCACGGGAGTCTAAGAACCGGTGGAGAGGCGAGTGGTAAAATATTAAGTCAGGCGTGTCTTGTGGGAACCCAAGGAAGGCACAAGGGAGGGTGCGAGACGAGAGCTTGTCCGTGCAAGGATCGCGGAGACGCGCAAGGAAGACTCGAAACTCCGACGCGATCCCAGGTGACCTGGTCCAAAGACTGGTCGGTGAAGCCTTTGGCTGTGAGACGCGAGGCCAGAGATTCAGCTGGTGCGCGGCGTAACGGACCACGAAGGCATGGACCGTGGAGGTACTGCAATCTCCATGACCAAGCCTATGCAGCATTGAGCAACCCCATTACGCTGTGGCGAGTCCGAAAGCGTGAAGGACTGGGTGATGCCATGCTCGCGACAGAACTCGGTAAGAACACAGGAGAGGAACTTACCCCACGGACGGAGTGCGGACAAAGCCCAGCGATGGAGCTGTGAGCGCCAGTGGTCAGTAACCACGGGATCAGAGCATCAGGCACGTGGGCCTTCTGTTGCAGAGGAAACACCATGGTGTAGCGAGAGAAGTCGTCCATAACAATGAAGAAGAACCTCTCACCACCTGACCCGGGAGGTCCCCCAGTCGTCCAAGTGTAGATTCCGGAAGGGTGAAGCGGCAGGTGTAAGGGAGGAGGATTGACGGGTGGCGTGCAGCCGACCCTCGACGCAAGGAGTGCTTGGCTGCGCAAGCGACGGAGGGAGCGACGGAAGCAAGGACGGGAGACCTGAAGCAAGACCGTGTCTAGGCATGTGGCGGAGGCGTAGGAGGGAAGGGTGATCAAGACGGCGGTGCCAAAGGACTGTCGGGTGAGTGAGTGACCGACAGGAGTATGACGCAGCAACCTGATCAGATGCAGCTACCTGGGGTGACGCGGTGCGCTGTGTGAAGATACCTGAGCTGGGCTCTAAGAAAGGGTCGCAAAGAGTGCCCAAAGAAATCGTTCGTACAAGTCGCAAACCTCCCGTGTGCAGGAAACGTAACTGCCACTCCGCGGTCCTGGAGCTGTCCATCATCCACCAAGTTCCTAGAGAATGAGGGGGTGTAGAGGGGACCAGAGGGGACGGCCGGACAGGTAAGTGTGGTAGAACTGCGAGCGACGGTTGGTCCAGAAGTGGGACCAGCCGAAGCTACCGTCATCGCCCGGATTTAAGACATATATGTCTTATCTTATACACTAGAAAGAATGCTTGGTTGTCTTGTATTTGGGACAGTTTAGGGTGTCTTATAAGTCTTATAATTGGACAAAAAGTCGTTTAGAAGATACCCCCCTCGTTAAAATATTACTTCTAAACCCTAATAAGGTACTGTTTAAAAGACACTGCCTTAACTCGTACACACCTACAGGTGTCTTATAACCAGGAATACCCATTTATAAGAGACACCCGATTTAAAGACACCCCCTCTCTTCTGTTCAACATTGTCTTCTATCCGGGCGATGACGGTATTAAGACTGGTGCAGGAAGTGACGTGATAGTGGTGTGGTCGCGAAAGAAGTACTGGGGTGCACCGGAGTCGAGTGTGAAGGAGAGAGCCGCGTCAGCAGTCGTCGCGCCTGGGCTAGTACCAGGCCCTCAGATCCGTTGTTGGGCTATCTGGTTCGTCAGACTTAGTACACTGATTCTGTCTGATCAATAAGGGTAGGTACAAAAAAAAGGCTGAAAAATCAGAGTCCTGAGTAAAAACAAAGTCTGAACATTCAGAGTCTCCACGAGTATTTTGTCTGATTGTAATTTTCTTGCTGGTGGGTCGTCTGTTGGCCTTTGTTAAACTACACTAGTTAAAAGCAAGCAACGAGTGCCTACTACGTACATACATACTTACTACTATCCTATCTAGTCTAGGCTACTCATTGAATCCATCATCATCATTATCAGATGCATCATCATCTTCTAGGTCGACTACTACCATCTCCTCATAGACAGGCTCCTTGCCCTGCCTGCTCTATTTCTTCCCTGTAGTGATAGGAGCGTTGCTGTGGGGCTTGCGCTTCTTGTAGCTCCTCCAGATCCCCACAATCTCTTCCCAGTTCGGCTCATACTCCTTGAGGCTCATGCATATGAGGTCTCCAAGCCTCACATCCTTCAACGACCCTCACTGCCACGACTTGATAATGTTCTGCCGGGAGAACCCTCTCTCGCACTCCACGATGCTCAGCGGTAGAACAGCTACCGCCAACCACAACTGCACCAGGTTGGGGTGGTTGTCGCACCAGTCTGGTGTCTTCAGCATGGTGGTGATTCCCGTGTGGAATCTGCGCTCGTTCTTGTTGGATGCTGCAAACCACCGAGGTGAACATGCGCAGCTCCTTCACCGCACGTCGCTCGTTGATTCCTGGCGAGGGAGGAAACGTAGAACACAAGAATGAGAAATTAAGAGCAAAGCGTTACATCACATACGAGCATACAATGATGTAGCAGCTCACTGACAACCATACACATGCAACGTTTAGGGAATTCGGTGCTTACTTGGCCGAATCTCCTCACACATGTCGGCCTTGAAGAGTGTGACCAGGGACTCCAGCCACTCGAGGCATCTCGTATTCCTCTCTCCATGTTCCAGCGGCCACTCATCAGGGGTGAACAGCTTTGCCCCTGACATTCCCTCCAGGTCGCCAAGCCGTGAAAGCAGCTCGTGGACGATCTTCTTCGCGAACTTGGTGCAGACGTCCACGCAGCCATCATGATTCCCGGGACCCTGAAACTCCTCCAGGTCGTCCTCATGCAGCTTGAAGGTGAAGCGTGTTGGTTGCCCGTCGGAGTCAACACCCTCGGCAGTCACCTCCCTGTTTCCTCCAGGCCCATGACGTACGAGGAAAGGAGACAACCGCTCGCTCACGCCGCCACCGAAGTCTCGATATGGGAGGTTGTGCGCTTTATCTGCGCATGGACACTAGCATAATCCAGCTGATGACAAGGAAAGAAATTAAAGGAAGGGTGTTAGTGACGGTCATAGAACATTGCGGAGCCAACGGTACGTGTATGGAATATATCATTACCCAGCTCACCTCCTTGTGCTGGAAAGCCCGGTTGAGGATGTTTAACTGCTCCAGCACGTCAGCAATGAAGAACAGAAGGAAATGAAACCTGTAGCTAGTCACAAGCGCATACAGGTTAGCATCCCACTCCTTCAGCATCACGATTTGAGCAGGATGCATGGCGATAGGCCTCAGCACGGCATCGCCCTATGAGAGCCAGCGAACTGCATGAATCCCTTGCAGTTACAGGCTTGTTGACGTGAATACTTCCTGCAAGCCCATGAACCGCTGGTGCCATGGCCCGAACCTGCCAAGATGCTCAGCCACGGTACGAATCACCGTGTCGATGATGCTGAAGGCAGGGATCTTCTCAGCGGCATGCTTGGCAGCCAGTGCCACCCTATACAACAAATAAGAACAACGGAGTTAGAATCTGGCAGAATAAGATGGCAACTATTTAGTATCTTAGCTTCAAAATTCGATATACCTGTGCGCGATGCAGTGCGATGACACCAAGTGGGGGATGCGCAGTCGGAGGCGTGTCACCAGGCCCGCCTTGCTGCCCATCATGAGGTTGGCACCATCAGTGCTGATGCCAGAGATCCGGCTGAGGTCGATGCTGACTGCCTGCAGGTGCGACAGAAGTAGACTTAGCAGCGAGGCGGCGTCTGCCTTATCTACTGTGATGAGCTGCATGAACTCCGTGACCAGCTTGCGTCGCGGATGAACGTGACGTAGGGGATTAGGTGCTTCCCACTGTACCAATCTGTGCCCTCGTCGAGGGAGATGTCGATGAAGGGACTTGAGAGCACATGATCCAGCTGGGTTGTTTGAAGCCACGTTGCAGTCGATTGCGTTAACTCCCCGAATCCAT